TCACGAAGTATCGAAAGTTCTCCTTTCTTGTGTTCAATCTCCTTTTCTATTTTTTTCTTTCCATGACGGCTTTTTTTCGTTTGTTAGGTCTTCTTTGTTTTTTATTGGTACAGGAGTAGGTGATGGATTTAGCTGTTGCGTACATAAGTATATTTAATTCGGTGATGTCTTGTTTCTTTGTTTCTAATATATGTATCATTGCTTGATTTCCAAGTTAAATTTTTGTTTTGTTTTTCTTGTTATTTTGTATTTTTGGGAGTTAGTCTCTCTCTTTGAGTGCAGTACATTTAACATTTCCTAGCTCTATCAGGATCTCATTCTTCATGTGTTCTATTTGCTCTTTTTCTTCTTCGGTAAAATTAGTTTCATCATGTAACTCATCTACTTGTTGGTCGAGAATACGTTGTTGGTTGTGTTCTGCCTCGACAGTGTCAGCTCTACCATTCAGGTTCTGATCTTGATCTGTAGTATCATTTTCACCTGTTATTTCGTTTCTTTCATCATTACCTTTCAGGCTTTCTTCATGTGTTTCCGTGTTCTTTTCTGCTCTCCCTTTAGTTCTGATGATATTTACTTCAGCATCATTTAATCTTTTGGTTTTTCAAGTGCCATATATAGTAGGAGTAAAACACTTCCTTATATTCTTCTCTTGTCTATGTTTGTCTTTTATTCTTTGCTGTGTTTGTCTGTGCTGTTGCATCTGATGGGTTCAAGTTGGAAGTAGCCCGGTCTGAATTACCATGCAGATTGGTCGTGGAAAAGTTTGTTCCAGTAGCAGATTTTCGACCTCAGCCTGGTTCCTCACTGTAGGACGCGCGTGACGGGTGATGCGGTATAATGTGTTTCTTGTGTTCATTAGTTTAGTAGTGTTCCATTTTTAGCTTACTGACAAGGTTGGTTTGTATCAGGTTTCCATCCCGAGTATTTTTTATTGAGATACCATCTCTAGGAGGGCTGCCAACCAAGGCTAAAGAGCCCCTCCTACCCTTTGTTTTGAAATCAGAGTTTTCCTTCTCCTAGGCGGGCTGCCAACCAAGGCTAAATGGCCCCTCCTGCCCTTTATTTTGAAATCAGCGTCTTCCTTCTCTTAGTATTTTTTATTGAGATACCATCTATAGGAGTGCTGCCAACCAAGGCTAAAGAACCCCTCTTACCCTTTGGTTTGAAATTAGAGTTTTCCTTCTCCTAGGCGGGCTGCCAACCAAGGCTAAAGGGCCCCTCCTGGCCTTTGTTTTGAAATCAGAGTCTTCCTTCTCTTATGATGACTACCCACCAAGGCTAACAAGCTCAAACTCCTGTCAGTTAAAACAGAGCCGAATAGTATAATTGATATCATTCGTTTTATTTAATTCTTATCGATATTTGGTTATATATGGGTTATATATCAACTAGATATGTTATTATTCTTATCAGGTCTGGTTAATTATTGACAATGCTGGCCTGTAAATGACCAGTTATATTTACCTACCCAATCCAATCAATTGGTCACAATGCCGTGCCGTCTCTACACCAGTGACAGGCAGCTACCGGTACAGACGATAATACCTTCCATCGTGTTGACGAAGTTTACTTTATTTAGACGATGTATTTTGGATATACGATTGTCGTGGTTTTATGTGCGTTCAGTTTACATGTAAATAGTGAGCCTGCCTTACAGGACATGCCACCATGTTTTGGGTAATTATACTTTATTATTTACTTCATTTTATTGTATATCTAACGATTCCATCGCCAGATATCGTATATACCTGTTCTGTTGTTGACATGTGTTTAGAAGGTATAATACATTAGGAGACACTGCAATAAGCAATATATATTCTCTGTTTAATCTAATTACTGATCTGCGATGCCATTTTTTTAAATGATATACTGTAGAACACGTTGAAATAGCTGCATGCAATTTTAGCCAATTTGACTCTTTGCATGAATTAACAGAATCTTAATTTAGCTAAAGTGTCGACTATCTCCATGTGAGAATATACTTTCTGTTAAATTAGCTGCATCTTGAATTAGCTAAATTACAGATTAGCTAAATTAGCTAAAATATAAACATGCTAGCTAAAAATACATGTTTTACAGTAACATATAAACAAATCAAATCACCATCTGTGCGTGTTTACAACAACGAGTCAATTTTTTATTATAGTTAAATGCCCCAGATTTTGTACAATGCTGTACCCGTTAGGAATTACAGACACTCTGATTAAGTAGAATCAGTGGGTGTTGTTTTGTTTCATGTGTTTTATTCAACAGACAACAGAAGCTTATAAATGAACCAGATCACTAAGGAGATTGGAGCATGTTTGAACATGAATTTCTGCACCTTGATAAAAACATTAGGATATAATTTATCGTAAATTAAATATGATATTTTGGCTGCAAACAAATCAATATTTGACAAAATGATTGAAATGTGTGTCAAAAATACAATTTCCACTTTGTGCAATTAGGAACGCACCAATCTTGGAAGATGGGGTGCCATTACTTAAAAATATATAAATGGAAACTTTATGAAATGCCGCTTGTGAAACACAATTCGCAACAAATTTAGAGGAAACGCCTCGCATTTAATGTGATGACTGTGGCGTTGATTGATACTACTTTAAAATTGCATTCTTAGACCATTCCATAGAGCTTTAATGGTGTCTACGGAATATTATGTGAAATATGTAACATACTATCAGTAACGTATTTATTTAAATATTAGTATAAGATATAATGTTGCTAAATTTTAAATTATATATTGTGATGTGAGTATTATTACCAAAACCGAGAATTTATTCTGCCATGAAAATATGATGATCAAAAATAAAGACCTATAAACGTTTGTTTTCATACAATACACTACAGTCTCTCGGGGAATCGCCATTTTTCCAACGCATGGTTAGCCTTTTCATTTATGGATTTGTATTAATCCGTTCCGTACTAATTTTAATATATATATATATATATATACTAGTATATATTTATTCACCCTCCTGTATGATGGACCCAATTACCGCCCAATTACAAAATGGAATGCTCTGTTTATCAATAACCTTTATCGATAATTACGTTTACTTAGTAAATAACAGTGTGTACATTGCAAATCACGTGGTTGCCAATGTTCACATAATTTTATATGTAACTAATCTAACATCAAATACTATTCGTTTAAAATGGTTCGCCAGATTCACCGGATAATTATAGAGATATATCACTGTGAAAGGGCAGTGGTCGTCGCGCTGCGCATGTCCAACATTTGTGTTGATAAAAATTGATTTTCCCATAATCCAATGCGCTCTTCCAATGGAAATCCAAAGCATGAGGTTTGATCTGGGCGCGACTTACATTAATCCCGCTTATGACTCTTTCGATACCTCCAATCATCTAAAAAAAATACCCAATTAAAGCTTGGTTACGTCCCAGTTTGTACTCGTTGATCTGCACAACAGTTAAAGTCGCCATCTTTGTTTATATGATGAGACCCATATATCTTGCGCATGCGTGGCGCGACGACTACCGCCCTTGGAGTACAGGGAGATTTAGACT